ATAATTAAATTTGAAAATATGTAAAAAGTTAAATAGTATAAAATAGCTACAAATAACCACATTCAGAACAATTATTCCTACTGAATAGCCTTTAGAATAATTTGAAATATAACCTTTACCACCCACCCAATAACCATATTAGAATAATTAACCTTACTACCCACAATGCACCATTAACCAGCATACAAGATAAACAAAGAAGAAACATTACTCTTTAGTATTTCAAGCTATTTTTTGTGCAGTTTCAATAAATATATCTGTTAAAATGAGATGCCAGTGTTATTTTCATTTTTGCATAATTTGGACAATTTATCCATCACACATATATATATATATATATATATATATATATATATATATATATATATATATATATATATATATATATATATATATTTCATATATATATATATATTTCATTATTCCATGGTCATAATTTATTTCATTGGAATTGTAAATACAATCCAATTCATCAGACCTACAAATTCAAAAAGAAAACAGAAAAAACAACTCCGGGAATAAAAAATAAAATTTAGTGAGAGTGTATGTATGAGTGTGTGGGACGAATGTTAGAGTAAATGAAAGCTATAGGGAGGGGTAACAGACGTATGTATGGGTATATTTACCACTAATATATATATATCCTGTTCTACTCTTGACTTAAAAAGATAGCCATCAGATCTTTGTTTCCAACTTTCTCCAGCCTGAAAGTCCTATTCAACAACCAATTCCAGTGTGGTTTTATAACTTTCTATATATGGTGTTGTTACATGAAATTATGTAAGAAAAAAAAAAAACAAAAAAAAACAGAACAGTAGTGCAACATTTCTCCCATGTAAACATGTAATTGTATACAGGTAAGCACAATTTTACACAAAGACGTATTGTCTTTGTGTAAAATTGTGCTTACCTGTAAACATTAAAATCATTTTTAACAGTATTGAGTCAACCGTCATATTTAATAAAATTCCAAGTTAAATATTTTTTCAATAAATATTTAGATTTATTTAACATGACAGGAAATTAATCATATCAAATAACCAAAAACCAAATTCAAAGTTATAAAAGGTAATGTTAGAAACACTGCCCAATTTCAATCATTTCATCACCACCACCCCAAGCAAGGCAATAAAGCCACTAAGACGTAGGGGGGTTTCAGGGAGGGGAAGGGAATGAAAAAAAAAACTTTAGTGAGAAGGACAATATAGAAACAGAATTTCAGAAAATAGATGACAATTGACATTGTATTGAATTATTTGAAGATAGAAACCAGGAACAAAAAAAATGAAACTATTAACTTAGAACTAACAGTTGCATTTAGCTAGTTAAATAGCAAACCAATGAGACCTATTTGCCAATCTAATAGTAAATGTAAATTCATGCAATTGAGGCACTAAAAGTAGAACAGCTCATCAGAACAATTGCCATGAAAATATTTGTAAAAAAGACAGAGGGAAGCCATGTCATGTTGGTGGAAAAGTAACTAAAGTCAAGATGTCCGGTCAGGATCAATTACATGACAGACATTTCTTTGAATCTTGACAAGAATCTATGAATAGCAAAAGCACCAAACCAGATATGTCAACAGTATTCAATGAACAGATGAATGTTTTCTTTGTTTTTGTTTTGTTTTTTATTATAAATGTGCAAGGGAGGTTATCTGACAATAAGAATTGTGTGGCATGACACTGCAAACTAACTTTACTAGCAGTAGACCTAGCAATCGGTTCAATATAATCAATCCACTTCATGTCAGTGGGAAACTAAGTCCAAGGTGGCACAAAAAAAAAAAAAAAAAAATTTGCTCTCCTGGAGTTTAGCATCAGCCATGCTGAAAAGGTTCTCTGTAGTATATTGATTTAAATGAAAGCAGTTTTGTTTTGGTGGTATTAAAATTTACAACAATTAGAAAATAGGATGTCTTCATGATAAAAGAAGAGCTACTACTAAATAAATCGTAGTAATAATAAAGAAGCATGATTACCACTTAACCTAGTTTAAGTTTTAAATGTTCATACATGTTAAAAATAAATTGTTTTTCATCATACTGATCTTGAAAATTTAAGAGCCCCATCCTCTGAAAGTGATTGTAAGAATTTTTTTAATGATAGTTAAATAAATACAAACTGAATATAATAGTGCCAGGATGAAAGTATAAAATTTAACCCATATATATTGTATGACATATTTTTTTTTTTACAGCTTATTTTATATACAAAAGTGGGATTTACCAGATCACATGATTTTTTAGGCACAAAGCAAGCATGTGATTTGACAGCATAATAATAGGTAAGAAAAATGGTCGACATGAAAAAAAAGAACAATAGAAATACTATCAAAGTTTAACAGATAAAAAAATTTTCTCTATGCAATTTATTTTAAAACAAAACGTCCAGGAGTCATAATGCTATAAAACAGCAATTAATTTTTTTTTTTTTTTTTTTAAATATTTTAAAACACAATGTTCCATTTAAAAAAAAATACTGATGGAAAGATTAAAAATGAAAAAAAAAAAAAAAAAATCCTAATTGAGTTCCTAACAACGAAACAATTTTTTAAAATGAATAGTACAATGTAACAATACAATTCATTTATGCTTGCAGCTTGATTTAATTACAATGTTCTTAAAAGCTGATGCCATAGACATATTTTCTCTCCTTTCTTTTATTGAAAAGGATTTAGTTTGTCAATCAATGTCAACTGAAATCAATAATGTATATACTTTTTTTTAGGATGCATCTAGTTTTTAACAGTTTTTTAAGTTAAGATCAACAACAGAGACAGAAACAATATCTTGTTCAAACTAATATTGGAAGAAATACGTTAAAATAAAAAAATAAGTTATAAAATTTAAAAAGCTGAAGGAGATAGTTAAAGAAGAGAGAGACAGAGAGAGTGATATTCTAGATTACCTCTTTTTCTAGAATTAAAAATGCAAAAAGATTAAGACCAGAAAGCCAAATCGGTCAGTACGTGATTTTTCTTAAGTTCACTGAACATAGCAAATGAAAATTAACACCCGAGTGTTGCTAGTTTTCCTCTCTCAACAATACCACATTAAAAAAATAATTAAAAAAAAACAACACGAACTTATCAACTGAAAAAAGTAAAACTTTGGTTTAAGTTAAAATGAGATATAAATCCGGGTGTAAATTCTGCATTTTGATGACATACAAGAACCCCCACACACAGCTTCTGTGCGCGCACGTACACACACACTTTAATTTAATTAAAGTAATTATGGAATTAGGCCAGGGACAAGTACTGGTAGCCTAACTTCAAGGTATATAAACATTTATCATTTAAGCTAGTAGAAAAACCTCAAATTCGCATATAAGACCCAAGAAGACCAAGAGATTTAACTAAAAACTTAATAATAACCATTTTATTTTTGTGTGTGTGGGGGGGAGACAGATCTTATCGATTGCAAATTCCAGTTTATGACTTTTTAAATCTTCTTGATCATTTTAGTTTTTAGTACTTAAGCAATATACATTTTCACTTTTCAGTTTTTCCTGGAACTGAACCTATTTATGATCTAATTTTTATCTTTATTCCGGTGATTAATATAAAAAAAAATGTATTTCATTTTTCTTTTTCATTTCACAGGTTTAAAGTCGAGTTTAGAAGCGGGGGTCATATATAATTTCTAATTCTACAACACTTGTTTACTAACGATAACATCTTTGATGTAAGACAAACATTTTTTCCAGCAATAAAAATAAGTGAATAAATAAATAATTAATAAGCAAATTACTAATAAAATTAGCATCTACTTATGCTTTTTTTTTTCATCCCAAATTAACTACAAACAAAATTTAATTTCTAGGTGTGGTGAAAGATTTTAAAAAAGCAAATTTCCCTCCAACTCTGTTTCACTTCCTGCAACAAGGAAAGAAAAATTCAGGTAAATAGATGTTATTTACAATTTTTAGCACATCTTCGAGAAGAAAAAAATGAAATAACTAAAATAAATAAAAAGAAATTAACCGTTTATAATCCACCACTATAAACATTTATTTGATACAAAGATCAATTTGAAATAAATTGAAAAAAATTAATCACCTCTTTAACAATTTTTAGTTAGTCTTTTAGTCTTCTTCAGGAAAAAACAATAAGAGGCGTTTTTTAGTCTTTTACTGTAAAGACTATGAAAATTATGATTTTTTTTTCTATAAAACCATAAAATATCGTTCATAGAATTTTATAATAGAATCAACAATTATTTATTTTTAATCTACGCAGGATGTTTTATCTACACTTTGCTTTTTTTTTTTTATAAACTAATTTACTACTGGCACAAACGAAAATCTTAGAATAAAACAAAAAAGCTTTCGTTAAGACAACAGCATTCCATAAATAAATAATTAGATAAATATTTATTATTATTATAATTGAATAAATAAAAGGCATTATTTTCTAAGATAGAAATTTCCAAGAGATTGCGTGCAATTTTATTTTTTTTTTATCTACTTTCTCTTTCTTTCACTTAAAAAAGTCAGAAAATCTATTTTTTTAAATCAACAATAAGTCCACTCACTTTCAATAAGGAACTTTCAATTAGGATATTAAAAAAAAGAAAATCACTTAAAATATGAATAAATGATTGTTCACGACTCAAAATTTAATTTTTGTAAAGGCAAAAAAAAGAAAAAAAAACAATAAGTCGTTGTATTTGTATCCATTGTGGGTTTTACGAGAAAATTCTTCGAAATTATAATTTTATAGTAGACATACACTATTTAATCATAATCTCTCGCGGGTAATTATGACATATAATTAAAAAAAAAACTATAAAAGAAGTCATTAGTTATTTTGTTTTACATTTAATTCTTGCAATTTAAAAAAAAATAGTTCCTGTTTTCGCTAGTCGGCCATACTCAACAATCAATAAACACGAGAAGTGAAAGTCTTCTACTTTGACTAGATTGCATAGCAAACTTGCAAGTAGAAACAAAATGTGCCAGATTTAATTAAAATTAAATCAAAATCTTACTCACCAATATAATATTAAAATTCTACACAACCAATTTTACTTATTCTTTTTTCTTTTGCGTACGCAACACAACAGCAACGTCCACCTTGTCAAACGCTTTCCAAGTAAGCAGCTGTTACGTAATATATAAGTAACGTTACTTAATTACCTCCCTTGGCTTACAAGGAATAATAATATCTAACCACCAGGTGTCTCTGTATATTTCGAAACGATTCCTTTTTCAGTTTATTTTCTAGAAAAAGTTAATTCTTTCTTTTTTAATCTAGAAAGTGAAAACTTTCAGAAAACAGCTGTAACTTTTCTTTTATTCTCTTCCTATCATTTGTCTCCCACTGGAGATAACTAAGAACTGTCTTTTTAGAGAAAATATTGCCATTTAAATGACTATACCTTGTAGGAGAATCATTTTGAAGAACTTTTCTATATTTTAGAGAGAAAATAAATGTATAAATTTTATAAAAAATTTTATCTCTTAAACACTGTTGGTATAGAAACTAATACATTTTTAAATAAACTATGTAAGCATACATTTTAATTTAGTGAATGAAAAGCATCTTTTACCAAAGAAATAATTATTGTTTTTGACAAAATAATCTTATTTTTACAAATGCAATGATTTTTAAAAGAAATATATAGATTTTGGGGGAATATTTCTTCTGTTCTTTTTTTTTTTTAATTATTATTATTATTATTAAACTGATCATATCAACAAGAGGAATTCAATTTAACTGATTAAAGTCCACAGTTCTATTAATGAAACCTGTCAGTACAAATATTAAAACTCATTCTCAAAAACAATTAAAGTTCTGACTGGGTTTTACTAAAAGAAAAAAAAATTGAAAAGTGATAATCTGTATTAAACAGAAGTTCATAGACAATGAAATATACCTGCTACTCTAGCCATAATATGGTATTATTAACTGGACTTTTCACATGATTTTTTAGTGCTTTTTTTTTTTTTTTTTTTGCTATTATTTCAACCTCAATTTAAATGTTTCTGAATATTGGCATCATATTTTTCCCTTCATAAGAAAACATGAATGTTAAATGTCTGGTATAGAGAGATGATGGTTAGGATAATACATAAGTAAAGGCCAAATTTACTATCTATAGTACCATTTTATTGTTGACTTCATTTGGTTAGAGTGGTTAAAATGGGTTACTATTCTCTTAGTCCTTTTGTGATTTGAGAGTTCATACATGGTTGTTGTGTTTTTGACTAACAGAAATTAATTTGTGGAATTCATCTTTTCTTCTTTTTCTTCTGGTCAAACTCAACATCCAATTAATCTCTAACCCTTGCATCTCAAACTGCTACATCAAACTAATTTCCCACTTCTTTTACTCTTCAGCTTCTTTGCACACATGGTTTTTTCTTCTTTTTATTGGGCCTGACACATTCATGTTTTCCATTTGATTTTTGGTGGGATGTGTTGTCATTGGTTGATTTTTTTATGACATTCACTAACCCGCATGAGCTATGTCCAGGTTCAGTCAGTTACCAAGGATAGGAAAAATAGAAGGAAGGAAAGGAAGTAATGTGTAATAGAGAAGAGAGAGAGAGAGAGACACAGAGAGAGAGAGAGTTTTCTTTGTCACTTTCTTAGTGAAAAGGTAAGTGTATATTTCCATATGGTGTTACTACTACCTAATTCTACTACAAATGGTTGGCCATGAATACCGACACTTGGATATTCCAATAACATTACAAAACTAAATTATCTGCACTTGATTCACTTATAACTTATGCATATGTCAAAGGGTAATGCATCACATGAGAGTCTGGCAAGAGGCACAAAATGTAAGTTCCCTCTTATGGGGATTTTCTCATTTAGAAAAATAATAGCACATTAGAAAAAAGATACAACTCTTATCAGTGTAAAATTGAAACAAAAAGAATTTGGTTATTTAACAATAATTTATGTGTAAAAGTTGTAAAAGCTTGCTTAGAATAAACTTTAAGCACCTAATAAAAATTAAGCCACATAGAGAAAAATATTCACAAGAAAGTGATACAGTTTTAAAAAATATTCTTTGTACAGAGAGACAAGGACAACAGAGAGACAACAATGCTCTGACCTGTCTGGGGTCAATAGGTCAATATAGTAGGGGAACTGTAGTGAGTGTGAAATAATAATAACTCTTTTTACACATTCCCTTCAAATTCAAAGGACTGAGGAAGAAAGAAAGAAATTTGCTAGCCTATATGGGATTTTTGTCTTCCACAGAAATTTTCAGCATTCAAGAAAACTTTCATTTCATAAATCCAGAAATACCATAACCTTCTAATTTGTGAAAAAGACCAGTATGTCAAACCCTGTCAAATGCCTTCAAGATGTGTCCAAAGTAACAGCCAGAGCTTTAGCATTCTTATCTGAAGTTTGATAGACTGTTTCAGCAATAATTTCATCAGCAGTGGGCCTAGAGAAGCAAAAGAGATATTGCTTATCTGAAAGAAGACCCTGTGAGGTGAGATCCTTAACCAATTATGAGTTAAATTAGAGACTAGTACTTTACCAAACAGAGGTAGAAGGCTAATTGGCCAATAGAAGGATTAGATGGTTTGCCTGAGTTCTTAAAGACCGGAACTACAGAAGAGGGTTTCACACTTTGAATTATGATTAGCAGTTCTAGTCTGCTCTTTGCGGTTGACAGTCTTTCATGTAATTCTGATGCTGCCATTCATTTGTCAGCTACACATGTAGATGGTCAGAAAGTTGGGGGTGGGTGCTGAACTGTTAATATCCTTGTTACATTCAGTGGGCCTTCCCCATTTTTTGGTGTGAACACCAATATAAACAAGAACCATTGGCCAGTCAATGGAAAGGGAGTGAGTTGCAGTGTATATTTACAAAAAGATGGTTGACAACTCTAGTTAAAACCCATAGTTGGCAAAAGATGGATATATGCCTTTTCCAGAAAAAATTAGGTTTTTTCTAATCATTGCTTTTTAAAATAATAAACACTGCCAAGGAGTGAAGGTAGTGAAAATAATAGCAGTGTCAAGGGAAAAACCATCATTTTGACACATCATTTTATTACAAGTACAAAAGTTAAAGATTGCCGAAATTTCTTTCATCTTATTTTGGTAAAGGACATTGCATTGAAATTTTTAAAAATTGTTGCTGGCAGGGAAGTAAGAAGCCAGAAGAGAATTCCACAGGCAAGAAGTACAAGAAAAGAAACTATTATAATAGAACTTAATTACATCTAGTTAATTCAATAGTAAAATGATGAGATCTAGTTGCCAATTTAGTAGTATGCTTAAATTAATGCAGTTGAGGTACCAAAAAGAAATGCTCATTAGAACAATTACCATGAAAATATTTATAGAAAAAACAAACATGCCACATGATTTAATTACACATACTTTGGATTTTGTCAAAAATCTCAATATATATAGTCAAAGTAACAAACCTGGTATGGCAGTAATATTCAATGCAGAGACAAATGGTAGATTTATAAATGTGCAAAATGGATGCTGACACAGTGAACCAACCTTCTGAGCAGCAGCCCTAGCAAATGATTCAATATAATCTTTCTACTTCATGTCAGTAGAAAATATGAAAACAAGAAGTCCCAATGAGTTGATATCCTGGGGGTTAGCATCAGCCATATGCTGATGGAAAGAAAAATAATACTCACTGTGATAATTAAAAGATAGCAGTTTTGTTCTGGAGGTGTTAAAATTAACAGGCTATTCCTTGTCCCAGTTAATAATTGATTAGAGATCATTTTTGAAAGCTTTAACTGCTTAATATTATTTGCTATTTAATTTTTATTTTACTTCATTTACTTGTTTTTTTTTTTTGCTTTTCTTTTTGAAGTGCAAAGTATTACAATACACCCTCAATTTTCTGTACCTTGATTTATCAAACCTTGCTTATCTAGGCATAAAATGAAGAGAAATATAAGAGAGATACAAAAAACATTTCAAGCGTTTTGAGAATTTAAAAACTATACTGAACATTTGATAAAAATGTTCATAAAATCAGTTCAATTAATTCTTGTTAATTTCCTCTATGTTTTCATGGAAAGAACATAGATTTGAATTATTACAGCTTGGTCATATTACATTATATAACATTCAGGGTAACATTTCCTGACTGACGGGACATCTCATTCTATGTTTTTACTTTTCAACACACATCATTCTCTTATAGTTAATGATCTTATACTTTGAATTTGAAATGACCTGAAAACAGAAAAAAAATTGACATATTTTTTAAAAATAATTGAAATGTTATTTGATTATTCAGACTATTGTTCTCATCTTTGTCGCCATATTTATTACAACGTTTCGGCCGTTGTACACTCCGGCCTTCTTCAGGTGGTTGGACACATGACACAGTGGATAAAGGCGTTAGTTAGATCCAGTGACAGGACCCAAAGAGTATGAGTTCAATACCCGGTTAAGGCAGTTGGGAACTTTCAGAGGGAAATTAACAGGAGATAACTGATAACTGACATCCATTAAACATGGCACATGGAACTAGAACAGTCTACCCCAGTGAGTGAAATAAAGGGTTCAGTTCGACATTTCAACCACCTGAAGAAGGCCAGGGCGTACAATGGCCGAAACGTTGTAATAAATATGGCGACAAAGATGAGAACATTAGTCCGAATAACGTAAATAATGTACATAATACTTCATCTCAGAAATATAGACAGATAATTTTATTTGATGATATTAATGTTAAATTTCTTTCATAAAATAACTTTTTCTCCATTCATTTTTAATAATTTTGATATTCAATTATCTGGAATTTTGAATTATCCAAACATATATTTTTAATTCCTGTCCCAAAATTTCTGGATAATCAAGGAAGTAATGTATAATTGTTAACACAGAAAATAGATTTGCCAAAGCAACATCAATTTTCATTTGAGACTGCTTCAGTTTACTTAGCACTGATGTCTTTGGGAAAGGTTTGAATCTGATTTTCCTTGAACTCTGTTCACCCACCAAATACCTCGTTTGATCAGACTTCTTTAATTACAAAAGATTTAGTTGTAGAATCA